ACGCACCTTCCCCCTAGTACAATAACGGTCATTAAGGCCTCTAATTCGGGCATACGCCCGGAGCGGAGGGTTCGTCGCTGAAACGCTTGCTGATCATGATGGTTTCATGCCTTTAACAGGCCCACCCAGGAGCGCCATAAAAACGTCTATGTAACATTCGCCCAAATATCACACAGCGACGGAGCGTAGAAAAAGTACCTATCAACGACTGGCAGGCGTCAGTTACCTTAATTCTACTCGTTTTTCACCGTCTCGACCTTGCCAGTTGATTTTCTGGTCTGTTTAGGGCAAAGTAAAAAGTTACCATTTTTAGGCCATCAGTCAAACGACTTTTGATCAGCTTTCGTTTGCATGCGAACACAACCACATAGCTGAGTCTCGGATCCTCAGACTACGTGATTGTCATTAAAAACACGGCTCGAACAATCTATTTTATTATGTTTTTGTGTGTCAGTTTTATATTAAATCCATTGGAGATGGATTGACCCTTTCCTTTTTCAATCTACTCATGCTCTGAAATATTAAATAATTACGGTGTTAATTAAGATCTAGGACATTACAGCAGCTGTTATAGTCAGTTTTCACAGTCCCTTCACATATAACAGTCTCTGGGGGACCAAGCCTCCGCTCCCGTGATTTTCTTGAGATAACACTCTTATCTCCTATATTTCGTGTCCCGGGAGGGTTCCGTGGTATTTCTCTTCCCCCCACTGAAGCCTCCGTCTCCACAAATATCTGTCGCTAAGGTTCTTATCGTGTGTTCTTGCCACGATAAGAGGCTCCGTGTTTTTCTGTCTCTGATACAACTGTTCTTCACAATCTATATCGTGGTTCTGATTTTCGTCTTTTTTATTCAAAATGGCCGTCTTTTTTCTATTTCTCAGAAATGTTCTTCTTCCAATCGAAATTTTAAAAATAAAAATTCTAGAACATTCTGACCCTCCGTCGCAACACTTTTTTGTTCATAAGGCCTTTAGTCACTTTTTTTTCTGTCGCGGGAAGGTTATGCTGTGTCATCTGGCAGAATGGCACATATCTCTTGTGTTTTTCTACCTCGAACGGTCGGAGCCAATTCGGTTCGCTTGCGACATGAGACTAAAAACCCGTTACAGCTTAAAGACAACTACCAAAATACCCTCCCCCCCCCCCCCCCCCACACTCTAGAAAATAAGAACGTCCCCATACTTAGGTCTCAAATTACCCAAAATACACGCACAGTTACTTTTTATTAGACAGTGGAACTTTGATCCATTTCAGATGGATCAACCTAAAACTCGCCTTATCTCAACATAACGATCATAAAACGCACTCAAGGAAACTAAATTTGGTACTTACATACCAGCACACTCAAGAATTGGAGTAACTAAATCAGTAAGCAACTTGAGAATTAAGTATGATAACTTGAGTTAATTAAGTTTGATACTAATGAATTTCAGCAAGGGAAATAAGTTTTGACTCAAGAATTGAAGTTTTGGTCTGAACCATTGGGACACCCCAGTTGTCCACCTTTCCACTGAAGTTTCACTCTGGTTCAGCTCGGATAAATACGCTCTTCTTTCGCAATCGTTTCTTCTATTTCAGGATAAGACAGCTCTACTCGCGCTTGATTTATATCTGGAAATTGCGAACAGCAATTTCCCGCTGTTTTATTCAAGTAGTTTCCCGCGATTGTAAATCGGTCGTTCTGATCTTCTATTTCTGAGATTTTCAGTTGAGAAAGTTGAGCATGACAGGCTCAATTCGAATTTTTGAAACATTAAATTTCCTCCCAAAATTACGTGGTTCGTATTGCTCAAGGTCAAACTTCCAAATATGACCGACTGGCACACGTATTCAGTACTAACATGGTATGCTGGATTGGCAGGGTTAGAAAGTAGGTGAGAGGGAATGCAAACCAGTTGAGATTGATGGAAGAAGAGGTGGATCTTAGAATGACGGATCACTGTAACAGGACTAGAGACGTTATTCATTTCACAACGACCCAAAGGAAAAATTGATCAAAAGCGTGTTTTAATTCCAGATAAAGGAGCTAGAAACAAAGCTGGTAGACGCAGGCATCATGAAAAGAAGTGAACCAGCTCGTAAGTTGACAAAAACTTGAGCAAAAAACGTGTGATGCCAAAACTTGGAACAAATCACTTTGATCACGTAATTCAGAGTTTAGGAGTTCGGAACAATGAGGAGCCAACGAGTTCTCAGGCCACGACAAACTCCATTCACCTACCAGCAGTGGCTAGAGCCAAACGAGTAAATTCTAGAAAAACCGACGCAGCGCCACCCACGACGGGCACTACGTCTAATAGGACCAGTGCAATGATCGGTCAACATGTCTAAATGGACCAGTACCTTAAATAAGACGAGCGAATTAACCAAGCCGAGTCCTGGGACACAATAAAAAGATGATTTGATCCGTGAAAATCCCATGGACTCCAAAATCATCTCCACCCCCAAACGGATTGTTACATTTGGACCATTATTAGCCCCTGAAGGCGGAACTTCTCGTTGTTTGTTCGGATATCTGTAGGCCATATGGGACTGTAGTTCCACATCAGGACTCTTTGTTCTAGATGAAGTCCCGGGATTAGAAGTGTCCAACTTTAGTCAACAATTAAAATTCAGACAATCTGATAGCAGAAACTTTTAACAATTTATGGTTTAGGCAAATGGTCTTTGTTGAAAACCAGAGAGTCGTGCGGGTCAGATGACAAGCACTCGCTTGTTGAAGAGAAGGACATGGGTGAATTGGTTTTAAAGACGAAGTGCGCGACAACGAGTGGTAGCATTTGTAGCATAGGCTGTCGCGCAAAGTGAGGATGATTTCGACTATGCACCTGTCGTCATCAGAAATATCCATTATCTATTGAAGGTGGTTTCGGTTGTGAAAAAGAGAGAAGGGTCATTGAAGATGGAGCTGATACCACGATCAGTTCCAAGCGGACGTACTGGTCACCAAATACGAAAAGTCCGACTCAGCTCACCTGTTGCCTCAAGGCATCATACTATCTGATGAACTTCAAGAAAAAACGTTCGGAAAAAGTCCATTTGCATTGTTATTCTGCTCACTGATGTTGTCGACGAGTTAAGGTTAGTTGGACATTGAAGCTAATCGCCATGACGTACAGTCGGCTGAGGTAGATTTGGTCATCCTGCTGTGGTATCTCAAACAGTTGGTAGGAGCTCGATGAGGCTTCAACGCGCTGATGAAAACCGCGTCATCAAGAAATATGAAAGATTGGAGAACGTTGCTGTTACAATAGCTCCTGCAGCATAACAGAATCTTTACTGGTGGAGACAGCCATAGCCAGTAAAAAGAACGATTGGATGTGAGAGAATATTGCTTGTGACAGACATGGCTCTCGTCATGCGGAAAAATTCGTTGGATTGCGGGAGCTTGTGAACGTGGCGTAGGAACCCGTGGTCCCGTACGCTTTTCTGTCAGGATACATGTCTAACTGTCCTCGGTGCTAAACGGAAATTTAATTTCTGTCGTGGACTGATCAGTAATGAACTGGGTCGAGCAAGAGATCCTAAGGGAGCACTGAAGTGAGGATGAGCTGTTCGGGCCATTACAATAGGGGGATGCAGAACGTTTTAGTACGTGTCAGGCTGGCCGAGCATGCCTTATAACCCATTTGTTGACAAACATGCAAGGGTACTCCTTATTCTTTTGGTGGGAAAACCTGAAAGAATTGAATATGTCGAAAGCAGGTTAAAAAACCTAGGCGAAACAAAGAATAAGGCCTTGGTTTCGAATGGATGTACAATGTGCGAAGCGACATGTGTCCAGGAACGTCAGTCTAAAATGCAATCCAGTTAAAAAGATTGCCAGACGCCTTAAAAAATTGTTCAGAATATCCGAAACGCAGTAACGACATCCTTGAAGACAGTACCTGAAATGTGTAACTGAGGAGGAGAAGAATCAGTCTGTAAACGAAAGAGTGTCGAGATCTCTTGCCTTCTCCCGATAGAAAGTCGAATCTCTTTGACTCCAATTTGTTTAGAGTCACGAAAGAACCAAGATCGAAAATTTATGCTCTCCTCCTCGCCTACTTCGTGAGCAGATTTTTCAGCTGCTTCTTACGTTCGTTCTAGGAAGGCTTGTTCTTCTTTGGTAGCTTTTCCTTCACAAGAAATGAGACGTTGTCTTAGTGTCTCCAGAGGATCTCAATCAGCTTGAGCTTAAGTGTTGTTGAAGGGTGCGCTGATATGAGGCCTTCAACCAGTGTAGCGTCGCTAAGGGTTCAGAATGTTCGGTGAAGTGTGCAAGGAACTAATGTATATCTGAATTGTTTTCATGAGTTTTTGTGCTATAAGCCTTTTCCCCTTGTAGTTGCAAGTAATGTTGATTTGCTTCTTTAATTGAAAAATTTACTAGCCCTGAATTTTGTATATCTATATTTTTTTCTTTCTCTTAATTGCTTTATTCGGCCGGCGCACATGATTTTTTTTGCTGGTACTTGTAGTAATGCTAGTAATGAACATAGTGAAGATTCTTTTATAGGTCTTGCTAATTTTTGTTTGTTTTTTTTTCAGGAAAAAGTCTTTAAAATGTGCATAAAAGTCTCTTATAACTACAGATGTGCATTCATACATATTGATGCATTTATGAATGCACTTTTTGAGTTCATTTGAAATTCATCTGCTGAAAGCCTAAATAGCACTCCAAATACGAACGTGGAAATGGCGCGAAAAAACTTGAACGATTCCTAGTTTCGAAAGTGAAATTTAATTTTAAGATTTCCCAGTGGAATAAAAAGTTTACAAAAAAGCGCCAATCACAAATGATTCTAGAAATTCAATGAGCTGAAAGTGCATCTATTTTTTTTCTTTGAAATTCGAAGGTTGAGTTTTTTTCAACCAAGTCAGTGTTTTTTTATGTTTCCTTGCGTGCGTTATTCTTTTCCGATCTTGGATTGGCTATGTTCTGAAATTGAATTTTCCTTTTATTCCTAAAAAAAGTTTTGATAACTTTTTTAGCTATTTAGCGGCGCCTTTAGATGTTTGCTGTTTCAGAGTGATGCTTAACACAAACACGCCAAGTACAATGAATCCTGTTGAAATATCTCATCGCGAGAAATGTGATGAATTATGTGCAACAGTTAAAAGATCTGTTCAAGTGGTCAAAAATAGTGTTCCACCAAGTGACCAATATGAATACTATGAAGCTTTTCCCAGGTATCAAAATGTGATTCATAAACTAAATGATTCAATATACAAAACCATGAATTCTATCTTTTCGAGCGAGAAATTATCAACTTCTTATCGCCAAACTAAAGATGACAAAGACTTTTCTGACAAATTTGACATGATGGTGGAAGCGAATGATGTGATATTAGAGAAGGTTGGAAATCTTATGGACGAGGCTATGGGCTTGCGCTGTGAACCTGCAATTAAAGTGAGCACTAGTGCCCCAGCAGTTGCAGCTTCTTGGAACAAAACCCAGCAGCAATCTACGCTCAAATCTCAGAAATCGTTTTCTTGTATTAATTGGCTTCCAAAGCCGCAAAATGATTTCCAAGAAAAGCCTGATAATTCAACCTTGCCATTCACTCCAAACTTGATGGTAAAACCGAACTGTGTTAAAAGCCTATCCAGGTCCTATTCCTTGTTTGTGAATGGCGAATATAAGGATACTGTTGACGTGACACGGAATCAACCTATTCTGCAGCGATCATACTCGTTTTCAAAACAATTTCTAGAGGAAATAACTGGACACCACTACGAAGCCGAGCTGAGTTCATTTATTCCTTCAGAGCATTTGCTAGAACCCGTGATTTGCATCAGACCATCTGAAGTAACGCTTGCGAATCTGCACTTTATTGATACGCTAACCGGTTTAAACTCTCTGATAGAAAAATTAATAACACAAAAAGAAATAGCAGTTGATTGCGAGGCACATAGTCATCGTTCGTTTTTAGGCTTTGTTTGTCTGCTTCAGATTTCCACGAGAACAAATGACTATTTAGTGGATACGATTGCGTTGCGAGATCATATTCAAAAGCTCAACGTTATTTTCACCAATCCCAAAATACTAAAAGTAATGCATGGCTGTGATTCGGATGTGCTGTGGTTTCAGAGAGATTTCGGGCTTTATCTGGTTAATGTATTTGATACAGGACAAGCTGCAAGAGCATTGAATTATCCTACTTTTGCATTAAGCTATCTTCTGAAAAGATTTGTTAACTTCGACGCTCATAAGGAGTACCAAATGGCGGACTGGAGACAAAGGCCCTTGCCTCAAGAGATGATTGAGTATGCCCGCATGGATACACACGCCTTGTTATACATTGCTGACAATTTGCGGAATGCACTCTACGAAATGCAAGATAATTCATTGTTCGAAGTTTTCAATAAAAGCAGACTTTTGTGTCTTAAAAAGTACAGTAAGCCAGAGTACCATGCTTGCTCTTACCAAAAAGTTCTGCGGAATGTTCGGAAAAGAATGACAACTCAACAAGAGTTTGTCATTGCGAAACTTTATGACTGGCGAGAAGAAACTGCTCGTTCGTTGGATGAAAGTCCCCATTATGTGTTGCCCAATCACATGCTGATCCGAATTGCCGAAGTGTTACCTCGAGAGGCGCAGGGTATTTTGGCTTGTTGTAACCCTGTTCCACCATTAGTACGGGAGTACTTGAGCGTACTGCACAAGGTGATCCTGGAAGCCAAACTGAAGCACTTGGGCAGTAACGACAGCGAAGCTAACCCGAAGTTTCAAAGCGTGTCCAAAATGGTATCCCATACTGAAAAAGTATTCCCCCATGATTCAAATTTGGGTTCAACCATGGAAGCTATGCTGGATTTGGACGCAGTAGTTGAATTCAATCTATGTGCAGATAGACCTCAACTTGCTATGTTTACGAAACCTCTTCCATCTCACAATCAAGGCAACCCATCATCAGTTTTGGCTGGTATGGAGCATCCACTGTCCAAGTACTTGGCAGACATGAAGATCGAGCCTAAATTCATGACTAAAAAGGAACGCGATGCAAATTCTCTGGCTCTGAACACCACAAAGAAGGGAGACAAATCTAAACTGCGTCACAGGTGGCGCCTTTGTGCACAGCAGCCTGCAGCGCCTCTGAAGAAAACCGTTGAAGCTAAAGATACTTTCAACCAAGAAAACAATGAAGCGACAGTAGTGGAAATTCCTATAGTATTTGACGAAGAGTTAACAGCGAAGAGCCTTTTGAAGGATAAATCAGAGATGAAAAAAGAGAAAAAGCGGAAAAAGCGAGAGGTGATAGAGGTAAACGATAACGAAGATTCAGAAGTTGCTCCAGCTAAGAAGAAAAAGAAAGCGAACAAAGGGGAGTTGAAATTTTCAAGTATTGATGGACAAGAGAATAGCTTGAATGCGGTGAACGACGAGGAGTTCGAACATCCGAGTTTGGGCCCTGCGAAGAAAGCAAAGAAACTGAAAAAATCTGGGTTCTCGGGGTCACTGATGCCGAAGATCAAAGCATTCTCAAACAAATCGTTCTCCTTCAAACCAAAACAGTGACACTCAGCCTGCTTTCACTTACCGTTAATCAATATATGAGCGCCTATTTAGATGAGGAAATGATAAAATTGGCGAGTCGTTTTTAAAATCATCTGTTTTGTGTTCGACTGCTAAATGTCTGATTTTTGCTCCGTATTTGAATTTAAAATGCATATTTTTTTTTGTGAAAATTTAGTTTTACTTCATGACTTAACGTTTCAGGTTTGGATGTAATTATAATGAGCGAGATTTGAATGATATATTGAATATGGACATCGAGAAAGGGCTGAAATCTGGTCTGAGTAATCAGGCAGGGAGGACTTCCATATTGGGGAAGAGAAGTGCTGCAGCTGCCACCCCATACAGTATATCGCCGTATCTAAACATCGACCCATCCATCCTCGCACAACAGGTGGGGTAGCATTGTGGCAATATTTCAGTACAAACTTGAGATAATATGATCTGATTATTGAAATGAGTTAATTGCTCGGTACATGATTCGATGGCCGGGTCTAAGGATATCATAATACTATTTATGAAGTAATGAACGATTTACTCTTTTTTTTTTGAAATGCAGGAGCCCGAATTCATTATTCCAGAAGGCCAAAGTGCGAGACGCAACAGACACGAACAGGCACTGCCCATAATAGGCAGTTTTATCGTAAGTGGGGCGGGAGCAGGCAGTGCATATGGCTTGTACAAAGGATTCACTGACTCAAATGTGAAACAGCTCGAGGGCAGGTACCTCAATGCACCCTGGAGAACACAATTCATCAACGTCGTCACCAGGCACGCCAGCACTGTGGCCAGGAAAGGTGGCACCATTGGTAAATATCTTGTAGTAGGCTGTAGCTATCCAAAAAGTCACCAACTCAAGTAATCCGGGTTAACTACTAGTAAACTTTGTTTTTCAAAGGAGAGGCGCTTTGAGGTAGGTGACTAAGGTCTACGTCTCAAACGAAAGATGGATGGTTCAGAGCCCCGAAAAATTCCAAAAATCAGGCGTGGTAATCAGGGGGTTTTCACAGCATTTTTTGGTGAAGAGCAGAACAGCTCGTGTATTGGCCACTCCGAGTGGGGAAGTGGTAGTTAGAAAGTGTATTTTGATATGAAATTAACAAAATAATTAAAATGTTCATTTTAGGAATGATTTATTGCGGCACGGGATCAATCCTCAACGCGTTCACAGAGCAGGAACAGATTGTCATATCTGGACTATCTGGAGCAACAACCGGTGCATTATACAAGGCATTTTCTGGCGTGAAACAGGCGGCAATAGGGTCAATAGCCGGAGCGACAATTGCTCTGGGAGTCTACTTTCTAACGAACACTAAACCTGTGAAAAAAGCTGTGTACCAAAGCAGAAGCTACTTTTAATCCGTTTTCTTTACCCAGACTTGATGCGTATTGCGGATTATACAGAAAACTATACAAATGCCGTCAACTTCTCTTGATTTGTTCGAAACAATTTTTGAAGGCCATTGAGAGAAATTTTGAATTTAATAATTGTCCCCACCTTTTTGCATAGTCTGGGGCAATGATATTGGTAAAGTTTCAAGTTTCATTGGAGTGAACAAAGCAGATTTTTTGTTAAGAATTTGATGATGCAGGGCTATCTTCACGCGCGCAGCAATCAGTGTTTTGCAACTGGTAACTAGTTTTTTATGTTAGAAATGAAGTAAATTTTCACCCATGAAGTTAGTGAAGATTTTTTCAATTACAAGTCTTAGATTATTTTCACGCTCAAATTTGTTTACCGTAGCAATCAGCGTAGTGTTTTAGTACGAAACTTCTTTTTTTCTATCCTTACGCAAATAAAAATTTTCATTGAAAGTGGAAAGTGTTCACGTATTTAGTGACACTTTTTCTGTAATCACCATCTAGCATTGGAAATTTTATAGCTCTGTATTTTTTGGCTGGTGTTTTTGATGTATTAAGCCTGCGTGGCTGAGTGGTTAGTGCGTGAGACTTTCAGTTTCTAGGTCGAAGTGGGTTACAGATCGAATCCGAGACCTAGCCAATTATTTTTTTTAAAAATTCGAGGCTTATTTCTACTTTTTTATTACACTTTACAGAGCTGCATTTTTTCGTGTTCTCGCTAGTGTTTTTGGAGGAAAGCTTCGCGTTTGTGTTGCTTTTTGATTTCTTAATTTCAGTTCATTTCTTTTGTGGACGATCTATTGGTCCCTATTGAATTACTTTTTGATCCAGTTTTTCCTGAAATTTTTAAATTAAAATCGAGCCAATCATAAGCACTTGAACTTCACCGAGTCATAACTTGATATAAGTTTTTCCTGGAAGCTCGAAAGTTGAAATAGGTTCGAAAACTTTCAATCATTTTTTTTGGTTTACTTATTCTTTCGCACTTTTTAAACCATCTATTAGCTATGTTCAAAACTTTTTCAATTCAATTTAGAGCAGCTCAAATACAATTTTTAGGTTTTGATGCTAGTGCACCAAATGTTTTGCTAGTAAACATTTTTTTTTTAGAATAAACTTTAGTTTTTTCCGCTGCATGGCTTTTGGTGAAGTTTTTTATGTTGTTTTTTGGACTTAGTTTCTAGCAACTTAGCGTTTCTATTCTTGAAATTCGCAGGAACTAGTCTTGACATTCGCAGGAACTAGTGTCTTGTAATCGGGGGCCAGGAAATTTGCGCAAACAGTTTTTCTAACAACTCTGTAGGAAATTGAAGTTTGTTATTGAACCTTAACCTTTTCCAGACTCCTTCCCACTTGGTTTAGAGGCAACGAGGTTGCTTTCGCACTCTGAGGTTGGGTTCGAAAGCCGGATTTTTTCTGTGTTGATAAAATTCAAACTTTTCGAGAAGAATTGAATTTCGGGAAATGTAGTTTGTACTGTAAAAATTCATAGTTTTATAAATGAATCGCTCAACGTTGCTAATGCAACAATTTTTATGGCATTTTGTTGTTTTTCATTGAATAATTGAGCCTAAACTCGGCTTGTCTGCTTAGTGGCCGCTCACAGTAAGTAATAAAATCTTATTTACTGCTGGTGGTTGTGTTTTTCTGAGATCGAATTGTTTTTCTGAGATCCATAATTAGATCCGTCTCATTTGCTTCTCGTTAGCTTGTAATGCTACACTTGCGTTGTATCGCAAATGATGCAAAGCTCTGCTTCGTCTCCGTGTGATAAATGTCAATTGAGTTTTTTTTGATAAATTTTAATTGGTTCAACATGGATATTCGTAAATGTTGGAAATCTTTTGAAGCTTCACTTTTGTACAATCATTTTTTTGTTTAAAAAAAGAAGATAATTCTAAGTTTTATAGTTTTTTGTGTTCTATGTTGTTATGTTGAATCATTTATTATTTTACTATTGTTATCAAGGTTGAAATACCACAGTTACGTGGAATAGATTATAATTCAGTTCATCGCTTCGACTCTTTGTTTTGGATAGTTTCTCGATTTTTTGCTCCACGCTCAATTTCTGGTAGTTGGACGCAGACTATTTAAAATTTAACTCATTTTAAGTTTTGGCACGATGTTAAGAGTCGATTAAGTCTTTGTTTCAGGAAAAGTCTTGAAAATCTCTTATAACAAAAGAATTTTGTATATGTGAACATTTTGAGTTCAATTCAAGTTCATTGGCTAGAAAGTAGGCAAAATGCACTGTTGAAAGCTGAAAAGGCGCGCAAAACTCGTTCTTTTTTTGTGGAATTTAATTTTTCAGATTTTCCGGCGGAATTTAGTTTTCCTAGTAATCCAATTTTCTGAAGTTAGGTTAATTTAATCAAAAAAATTTTAAATTGATCTTGAAAGAGCTTGAAGGTCATATATTTTTGTTTGAAATTCGAAAGTTGAAGTTCTTTCAAAAAACAACTCAATTTTTATCTTTGTGTTCATTGACGTTTTTCAACTGTCTGTTGGCTATGGTGTTTAAGAAGTGCAGCTCATTCTCACCCACTAACTCATTGGGAGCTTAGAACGATGCGTTAAACATTGTCGAAGAAAAATTTCGTCGATCATTTTTTGTCTGAATGGGTTTTCATTTTTCCTATGAATGGGTTTTGATTATATTTCCTTTTATTCCAAATACTCACTTTGTTGTTCTCATGAAAATTCGAAGTGAAGTGCTGGCACAGTAAAGTGAGCAGAATTTTCTGTGCCAGAAGTTACGCAAATTACCCATTTTAAATGTTCCGTTTTTTAAAGGAAATCTTTTTCTTCAATAACTATGTCAATATTTTGATGCATTGAATGATGTGCTCTGTAAGTCTTGAAATTATTTCAGCCAGATTTTTTTATTAGAATTTTCTTAATAACTTTTTAATGTCCTTGGTTTTATTTTTAGATTTTGATGCTAGTGCACCAAATGTTTCGCTAGTAAACATTTTTTTTTAGAATAAACTAGTTTTTTCCGCTGCATGGCTTTTGGTGAAGTTTTTTTATGTTGTTTTTTGGACTTAGTTTCTAGCAACTTAGCGTTTCTATTCTTGAAATTCGCAGGAACTAGTCTTGACATTCGCAGGAACTAGTGTCTTGTAATCGGGGACCAGAAAATTTGCGCAAACAGTTTTTCTAACAACTCTGTAGGAAATTGAAGTTTGTTATTGAACCTTAACTTTTTCCAGACTCCTTCCCACTTGGTTTAGAGGCAACGAGGTTGCTTTCGCACTCTGAGGTTGGGTTCGAAAGCCGGATGTTTTTCTGTGTTGATAAAATTCAAACTTTTCGAGAAGAATTGAATGTCGGGAAATGTAGTTTGTACTGTAAAAATTCATAGTTTTATAAATGAATCGCTCAACGTTGCTAATGCAACAATTTTTATGGCATTTTGTTGTTTTTCATTGAATAATTGAGCCTAAACTCGGCTTGTCTGCTTAGTGGCCGCTCACAGTAAGTAATAAAATCTTATTTACTGCTGGTGGTTGTGTTTTTCTGAGATCGAATTGTTTTTCTGAGATCCATAATTAGATCCGTCTCATTTGCTTCTCGTTAGCTTGTAATGCTACACTTGCGTTGTAGCGCAAATGATGCAAAGCTCTGCTTCGTCTCCGTGTGATAAATGTCAATTGAGTTTTTTTGATAAATTTTAATTGGTTCAACATGGATATTCGTAAATGTTGGAAATCTTTTGAAGCTTCACTTTTGTACAATCGTTTTTTTGTTTAAAAAAAGAAGATAATTCTAAGTTTTATAGTTTTTTGTGTTCTATGTTGTTATGTTGAATGATTTATTATTTTTCTATTGTTATCAAGGTTGAAATACCACAGTTACGTGGAATAGATTATTATTCAGTTCATCGCTTCGTCTCTTTGTTTTGGATAGTTTCTCGATTTTTTGCTCCACGCTCAATTTCTGGTAGTTGGACGCAGACTATTTAAAATTTAACTCATTTTTTGTTTTTCAAGATTTGTTTTATTGTGCAAAACGGCCTCTTTGTTGGCCTAATGGCTTTGTTATTGATTTTTGGCTTATTTGCCGGTGTTTTTTCAAATTTAGTTCAATCAAATTATGCTTTTGAAAACTTAAGTTTTGGCACGATATTAAGAGTCGATTAAGTCTTTGTTTCAGGAAAAGTCTTGAAAATCTCTTATAACAAAAGAATTTTGTATATGTGAACATTTTGAGTTCAATTCAAGTTCATTGGCTAGAAAGTAGGCAAAATGCACTGTTGAAAGCTGAAAAGGCGCGCAAAACTCGTTCTTTTTTTGTGGAATTTAATTTTTCAGATTTTCCGGCGGAATTTAGTTTTCCTAGTAATCCAATTTTCTGAAGTTAGGTTAATTTAATCAAAAAAATTTTAAATTGATCTTGAAAGAGCTTGAAGGTCATATATTTTTGTTTGAAATTCGAAAGTTGAAGTTCTTTCAAAAAACAACTCAATTTTTATCTTTGTGTTCATTGACGTTTTTCAACTGTCTGTTGGCTATGGTGTGTTTAAGAAGTGCAGCTCATTCTCACCCACTAACTCATTGGGAGCTTAGAACGATGCGTTAAACATTGTCGAAGAAAAATTTCGTCGATCATTTTTTGTCTGAATGGGTTTTCATTTTTCCTATGAATGGGTTTTGATTATATTTCCTTTTATTCCAAATACTCACTTTGTTGTTCTCATGAAAATTCGAAGTGAAGTGCTGGCACAGTAAAGTGAGCAGAATTTTCTGTGCCAGAAGTTACGCAAATTACCCATTTTAAATGTTCCGTTTTTTAAAGGAAATCTTTTTCTTCAATAACTATGTCAATATTTTGATGCATTGAATGATGTGCTCTGTAAGTCTTGAAATTATTTCAGCCAGATTTTTTATTAGAATTTTCTTATAAACTTTTTAATTTCCTTGGTTTTATTTTTAGGTTTTGATGCTAGTGCACCAAATGTTTCGCTAGTAAACATTTTTTTTTAGAATAAACTTTAGTTTTTTCCGCTGCATGGCTTTTGGTGAAGTTTTTTTATGTTGTTTTTTGGACTTAGTTTCTAGCAACTTAGCGTTTCTATTCTTGAAATTCGCAGGAACTAGTCTTGACATTCGCAGGAACTAGTGTCTTGTAATCGGGGGCCAGAAAATTTGCGCAAACAGTTTTTCTAACAACTCTGTAGGAAATTGAAGTTTGTTATTGAACCTTAACT